TAAACAACCCATGACACACTAATGCCCTGTTTTCAGAGTCTCTGAGAAAAATGTAGGAGGTGATTGCTACAGATTGAATGTTTGTGTTCCCACCAAAATTCACAGGTTGAAACTTAATCCCCAATATGACGGATTTGAAAACAGGGCCTTTGGAAAGTAATTGGGTCACAAGAGCGTTCATGGAGGGATTGTTGCCCTTATAAGAAGAAGCATGAGGCCAGGCACACTGGCTCATGCCTGTAATTCAAGCACTTTGGGAGGCCAAGGTGGGCAGATCACCTGAGGTCAGGAGTTCGAGACCAGCCTGGCCAACATGGAGTAACCCTGTCTCTACTAAAAATATAAAAATGAGCTGGGTGTGGTAGTGCATGCTTGTAATCCCAGCTACTCGGGAGGCTGAGGCACTAGAATCACTTGAACCTGGGAGGCAGGGATTGCAGTGAGCTGAGATCGCACCACTGCATTCTAGCCTGGGTGACAGAGTAAGATTCTGTCTCAAAAAAAAAAAAAAAAAAAAGAAAAAAAAAAGGAGGAAGACACATGAAAGACTATTCTTCTCTCTTTGCTCTTTTGGCCATGTGAGGACACAGAGAGAAGGAACTTGTCTACAAACCAGGAAGCAGTCTCTCACCAGACATGAGATTTGCCAATGGTGGTCTGTTATATCCGCCTAGGTGGACTCAGACAGTCTAATCATTCAGATAATGTGCTAATGAGATGAATCTTTCCTCCAACGAGCACAAGTGCAGTTCAGCAAAAGGACATAGGAGGATAGCAGAGGAGGCTTCTTGGCCTCAGTCCATAAAGAGTAAGCATTCCTATACGAGACAGGGAGAACTCAGGCCATCATATCAAAGTTCTAAATTCTTCCGTGTAATTAGTAATGCATATAGCTAGAAGTTACCACCGGAGTGTCCACATGGATATTTCATTGTTCTTAAGGACTGGGTAGGCTTTTTGAATCTGGATCCAAGAGACTGGTTTAACTGGTTCTAGGTGTACAACTACTGGTTTATATTAATAAAGCTGAGGGTTGTTCCTTGGGCGTGGAAAAGTATATGTCATTAAAAGATAAATGCCTCAGTTAATAAATGAGACAAAAGAAATACTTCCAGGGAAATATTTCAAATTAAAAAATCGTACGGAAAAACCTCAGAGAAGACAGGCTGTTGCCCAGTGGTTAGATTTTATTTGAGGGTTTCTTATCACCATCTAGCTCAAATGGAAACATCTGATTGTTGCTGCCACCTGTCTCTACAAGGGTATTCTCATTTCCCAGTAAACCTGCATTGTGCCTTCTGTCCCAGTCAAACATATCCCTGGCAACTTTCCCAACAAGGTAGTTTCCTTCTAGCCTGGCTGAGCCCTGTGGTTATAGAACACCCTGTTTGCACAGTATAGCGCTCCTCCTCTTAAAGTGAGTCTCCAGACACCTCCTTCCAGAGAAATGAAATGAATCATGATCCTGCCTAACCCGCACCTCCAATTATTATTTTCATCATTTTTATTTAAAGCAGTCACTCCATTCTCTAAGCGATTTTTTTAAAGGCAACTTCATATTTACATTACCCTATGCCTGGAAGGGTAGACTTTTCCTGGTGCTGAGTTCCGCTAATTAGTATGACACAAGCTTGGCTGAATAGTTCTCTGGGACAGTTTGGTATGGGAGATGCAGTGGCTGACAGGAAAGATTAGGAGCAATGGCTCCCACAACAGCTTCCTGTCTTTAAGCCTGAACTTAGAATAGACTTTCGCCTCCAAGGCACAGGAAAAATAATGGCAAGCAACAATGGCTTGAAGAAAAAGGAAAACAAAGATTAAAGCTCAAAAACTAGACATTTTTTTTCCTAAACCAAATTATTTGTTGCACTGAAGAGGGGAGGTGGGCAATGACCCTGCGGGGTAGAAAGACTTATCAAGACTTTGTTCAGGTTAAAGGGAAAACAGTCATGTCCAAGCTTCTGCTCTAAAGAGCATAGATCTGGGGTTATACATCGCTATTTAACAGAGCCTCTTAGTGAGTGTGGGATAAGCAATGATGGCAAAAATTGCACAACATGGGAGGGTAACAAAAATTTAGTGGGTGGGGTCCACCAGCATTTGAGGAGGTGTGAGGGGATGGCCAAGAAGATAGTGACAAACCAGCACCTGAAAGACAGCATCACTATCTTGAAATCCCCCTGGTGGTAAATTGTTGAAACAGTATGGCCTATCTTGTGCTGTGATATCATTCCGCTATGTTATTCCAACCCTTCAGTAAAATTCTTCTACATCCAACAGCCTTGTGTTCCTGCAAGAAGGGGCTGCTGATATCTAACACAGGACAAGAAGAACCAAGAAGAAAGTAGGAACTGAGAGTAATGGTTTGGACAGACAGATCAAGAAAATATCTTCTCTGGAGAAAGCAACAGGAATACTGGCTGGTAGGAGAGGAGGTTAATTTCCCACAGTAAGTGGCTTGAGGGCTCCACCACTGCATTTGCATATTAAAGACTGGTCCCAGAAGGCTGTAAGATTTGAGGACACTTGGCTTATATTGTGAATACTGGCACTAAAATAATTGAAATTTTTGTTATCTCCTGTTCCCATGGTTCCCAACTTTGTATTTCTCAGACTAGTAATATTTTAATAAAAATTCTAGGGACTGCTTGGGTTGTTAACCTTTTACTGTGTCATTCAAAAGTATCTTAAAAACTGTTTCATAAAATAAAGGACATGTTAACACACACAGACAAATAGGGCATAATAGAACAATTTTTAAAATGTGTTTTTATAAAAACCAAATTTGTTTTATAAAAGAAAATTGTTTTTATGTTTTTATCTGAAATGATCTCACATTTTCCAGACTGTTAAATTGAAGACAGTGTACATTTCATTTTATTTAGCCTTAGCTAATAACCCTTTATTCACTTATTTGTTCATTTTTGGAAAAAACTAAATGTTTTTTATACGCCTCTTTTTCCTTTCAAAAAACAAACAAACAAACCATTTTTTAAAAAACAGGGTATCACTCTGTCCCAGGTGGGAGTACCGTGGCAAGAGCTCAGCTCACTGCAGCCTCAAATTCCTGGGCTCAAGCAATCCTCCTGCCTCCACCCCCTAAGTAGCTGGGACTACAGGCTTATGTGCCATCACACCCAGCTAATTTTTAAAAATTTTTTTGCATAGAGAGGGTCTCATTATGTTGTCTAGTCTGATCTTGAACTCCTGGTCTCAAGCAGTCCTCCCACCTTGTCCTCCAGAGTGCTGGGATTACAGGTGTGAGCCATTGTGCCTGGCTTATAAACCTCTTATGTGCCATTCACTGTGCTAGGTACTGGAGTACAGAGATGAACATGACTTTGCGCCTGCCCTCAATATCTCAAGGTTTACCAGGGAAGTCAACCAGGTGATCTCAAGTGCAAAACTCACACAATACTAAGGGGACAATGTAAAAGCAACAGTTCAAAACCAGACGCTCTATCTCTATGCAGAACTGCAAGAAATACCAAAGCCTGATGTCAGGATTTACTTAGCACACGTAATTTGAGTTTTCTTACCAATGATTTAGGGGGAAGCTGAGACTTACTCCAGAAATCATGGAGTTTTCAGACTTTTTTCTGCTCCCAGCCAATCACAGGGCTAGGAACACACCTCATGTGCAACATGTCAGCCAGTCCATGGGTACTCCCACCCTAGATAGAAAGAGGTTGGGTATGTGGGGTTTGGGAAACAAAACTGCAGCCTCTCCCTTGTCTACCATGGAATAGGTCTGCGCACAGCCACTCTGCTCACTACAGAACATATAACCTGAAGGTTACTGGAGGACAGAGCAGGGTGAGGGCTGTGCTGCCATGGTGACAGGATTTGGTGCCTCACTGGAGATGGGGCACTCAGGGCACTTTCTGGCTACACACAGCTGGAAGATGTCTGGGAGCAGTGTTAGGCACATTGGACCCCCTGCTCAATACAAACCACGCTCACTTTGGGAAGTGATGAGGTTTTCTAGTTCTGATCTGGAGTGAGAATCAGAGAGGGAGGCATATCATGGTATCCCAATCATCTAGTTCTGGAATTTCCCTAGAGGGTAGGGGATGCTGGTATAGTAAGGGATACATAAACATATTTATATGGGAAGAAGCTCCAGAGGTTGGTACACTGGGGAGGCCCCCCCACCCCCCACCCTCTCTCTCTCTCTCTCTCTCCCCCCCTGCCCAGTGCTGCTCCAGAGGTACAACACTAGAGGAAAGAAATGAACTATATGCATCTCCTTACATTATATAATCAGAGTATGTATGTCAAAGGGATAGTCACTGGAACATTTTCCCCTCCTTATCTTCCCTCAACTCCTGTCAAAAATAGGTCTAGAACTTTCACACAATTATCCATCCTTATTTAAAATCAAAACGTGGATGGATCAGCCGATGGCTGCAGTTCTCACGTCTTTGCCCGGGTCTTCTGGCATCTCTGAAGCACATACGTGTGACAATGGTACAGAAACGCAGGAAGTGACTGTTGAATGCATAGAGGTTTTGCAGCTTCCGTCCATTGTCACACAATTTCCATTTTAGATTCTGAGCAGTTCTCCCTCTCCATGCGCTATGAAATAGAAGGGTCTGGCTGAATCATCCGCTTGAAATTAGGTTTCTTCCCTGCAGGGGATTAAGAACCGAGGTGCGGTCCTTCTGCGCGCTCCACACCACACCCCGCAACCCTAGAAATCAGGACTTTCCTGGAGAAAGGCCCAGCAGGGAGCCAGGACCCGCAGACGGTGCGGGGAACTGCAAAGCCCAGAAATGCCCGTGACCAGGCCAGGGGAGGCGCGAGGCGAAGCAGAGTTGTCCCCGAGGCGTGTTGCGGCAGCTCGGGCAGGGCAGTGATTGCCTCGGAGGAGAAAGGGAACAAACGTCCCCTGGTCCCCGAGGTCTCCCAAGGTCAATTCCCAGGGGACTCCAAAGCAGCGACGGAGCTCTGAGATCTGGCAAGTTCTAGGAGTCAAGTGAGGGGAGCGAGTGTCTTACCTGGCCGGGCTGACTGGTGTAGTTGAAAGAGTAGATGTTCTCGGTGCTGAGATTCACCACCCCGCTGTAGACATGATCGAAATCGGCGCCCCTGGCAGGGTCGAGGGGGTCGCGGCGCGGTGCCGGGGGCTGCCTGGGGGATTTCGCCGGGTGCCCGGGCGACGCCGCCAGCAGGAGCCAGGGCAGCGCGCAAAGCAGCGCGAGCCGCGGGCAGCCGCGCATGGTGGGCACCGCGCCCAGGCTCGGAAGCAGAGCCACTCTGGGGAGGGGGCGAGTGCAGAGAGGGTCCTTCCAAATCCCGGGGCAGGGCCGGGCGTCCGCCTCAGCGCCGAGCGGGCAATGCCTGGCGAGCCCAGCCGGCCAGGGCTGGCAGCGTGCAGACGAAGGGTCGATCAAATATTGATGCTGCCTCCTGGGGTCTCCACGGGAGGTCACGGGTGAAGAGTGGAGGGACTGGAGAAGTGGAGATGAGGGGGCTGCTGATTTTCCTCCGGCTTCTAAGTCCCCCGTTTCTCATCGCCGAGAATCCCCCTACTTACCCAGCCAGAATTTAGACCGATCTCTTCTCCCTCAACCTCAATAACAGCAATAACAAAAGGCATTGGAGTCATTAAAAAGAAATATCCGCTAGTCTCGAAAAGTCAACCTGACCCCACATCGAGGAGGAAATTCGGTCTGTTTCAAATACGCGTGCACCCTGGCTGCAGGAGAAGAAATAGAAAGCAAAAGAGCCCGTCCCCCAAGAGGGTGCGCGAGTTCGCTTTCCCAGGCTGCTACCTGCAGAGAACTCTTGCCTGTCTGAACGATAATTACTCTCTATTCTCCCCTCTCTAATAGAACGTCTCCTCAGACACCTGTTTTATTTCTTTATTACCTTCTACTCTCCAAGGAGAGTCTCACGTCATCACGTTCTCTCCCTCACCATATGTGTATGTATGTAAACATGTACAGTAAAAAAAAAAAAAAAAAAAAAAGATATGGTAAAGAGAACAATTTCCAGCACTGCCTGAAGTCTGGTCCCGGAAGTTGTCAAAAAACGACTCAGACTAACTAGATTTATGCAGAAGGCATTTCTTTCCACCCCGGCTTCTTGCCTAGTTTACCATTGCAATGACTTCTTACAGATTCCAGGAGAATCCCCAGAATAGATTTTTTAAAGGCAGAAACCACAGCCTATCATAAAAAGGAAATACTTTTCTGATAAAAATTAGGGGATTCGATTTAAAGAGTTAAAGAGGCAGGTAAGGAGCAGGGTGAGAATGGGTTCATCAGAAGACCTCGCAGAACATTGAACCATCACAATTGAGGTGTGGAAGAGAACTCACTGTTTTATTTCAGCTTCATGACTTGTGTGGTAGAAAATAATGTAATTGCGTTCAACCTGAAGGACCATTTAAAAAGAAGCCACTGAGAAAGAAAAGATCTTGTTCAAAAATTTAAGACTGCAGATTAAAATCCTAGTACTTACCATCTTTAAAGAGATGGATTTTTGTTTTTACTTTGTCTAATTCCTTTAATTTCTTAAAACATCAAGAATGAATGCAATACATTTGCTGTAAAGTTTTCTGTGAAATCAGAAAACAATGCTGATGGAAGATTAAGTTAGTAGACTCCTTATTAGGACAATTTTCAGTTTTAAAGTTTTAAATATTCTTGGCAGGTGCAGTGGCTCATGCCTGTAATCCCAGCACTTTGGGAGGCTGAGGCAGGAGGCAGGCTAGCTTGAGGCCATGAGTTCATGACACGTCTGGGCAACATGATGAAACCCCATCTCTACAAAAAATACAAAAATACCTGGGCATGATGGTGTATGCCTGTAATCCTAGCTACTTGGGAGGTTGAGCTGAGAGGATTGCTTGGGCCTTGGAGGTCAAGGCTGCAATGAGCCATGATCACCCCACTGCACCCCAGCTTGGATGACAAAGCAGGACCCTATCTCAAAAGGAAGGAAGGAAGGAAGGAAGGGAAGAGGGAAGGAAGGATGAAAGCAAGGAAAGAAAGAAATTTCTTGAAAATGTATGGGTATATGAGCAAAAATACTAATTCAAAGGAGAGTCTGGGGGTAAAACTTCAAATAGAACCGCTGTTTTTGAGGAACACAACAAAATAATTTCATCCATAATTTGAATGACTTTAAACTGCTATATTCAAAATATCTACGCCTCTTTTCAAAGTTCAATGACATTTCATAAACTGGAAATCTATGAATGTCCTGGAGGTTAGCTGGTGTGACCAGTTCCAGGAAGGAGGCTCTTGGATTATGGAGTTCTTTTCAAACACTGTAAGAGATGAGGAACTGGTTCTTTCACAAGGCAACACCTTCTTTTGGGGGCAAGTGTCTCATTATTAGAAAGATACTTCATATTCCTCGTTGAAATCTGCCTCTCTTCCCACTCACTTGTACTAGTTCTGCCCTCTGGAGTCATAGGAATAAACCTAATACTTCTTCCACATGGCAGACTTGTAGGTATTTGAATGGTGCTATGACCCTTCCTTCAAGATTTTATCTCAACTTTAAGCAACTAAATCAGAAGCAATTGGAACAGATCCTTCATCATAGCATGAAACACAAAATATTTATTTTAAAGCCATTTGTATGTGATTATACCTAACAATTTGAGTTATATATTACAAGTCAGTCTGTAATATTATCTAATCCTTATTCTAGCCAAAATTCATTCAGTGACCTCAAGTAATTAACCTCTCAGGATCACAAGGTTGTTGTAAAGATAAAAGAGGGAATGATGTATTTGAAAGTGCATTAAAAAGTTGAAAGTGTTGAATGAACAAATACTGTTATGGTGTGACTGCTAGTTCAATAGCTAAAAAATAAAATATGGTCCATTAGGTAGATGTCTTTTTTCTTTGTTTTTTAAAGGAATTTTATTTTAAATTTTTGTGGGTACATAGTAGGTGTATATATGTATGGAGTATATGAGATGTTTTGATACAGGCATGCCATGCATAATAATCACATCATGGAAAATGAGATATCCATCACCTCAAGCATTTATCCGTAATGTTACAAACAATCCAATTATACTCTTTTAGTGATTTTTAAATTTACAATTAAATTATTATTGACTATAGCCTGTTGTGCAATCAAATACTACACTTTATTCATTCCATTTTTTGGTATCCATTAACCATCCACACCTCCCTCCCCCAACTCTCCCGTTACCCTTCCCAGCTTCTGGTAACCATTCTACTCTCTTTCTCCATGAGTTCAATTGGTTTGATTTTAAAGGCAGTTTTTTTTTCTAATATCTACGATGTTAGGATTCTACCGTGAGAGACTAAATATGCCAGTGGGCAATGGCCAGACCATAAATAGCAATACAACACTGACCCACAATTTCTGCAGCAATCAACTGAGGAAACCAAACCACAACCTCAGCAGCAACCAGTCCAAGAAGTCAAACTACAATTGCTGCAGCAAATGGCCCAAAAGAATTAGGGCTTGGTCAATGAGTCAATTCCCCAAATTTTTGCCCCTGCTTCCAACTTAGGATCAATTAGAGAAAGTCAAATATGCTTCCCAAACCACAAAATGCCCTGCTCCTACTTAACCGGCCTCCAGCTTCCAACAGCAAGATCCAGTCAGAGCATGCCTGAAAACCTTCCCCTTTTATCACTATGAAGTTTTCTCACTCCCCTACCTGCCTTTGAGTCTCTACCAGGCAGAAGTGATGGTGGCCAACTCCCTTGCTGGAGCAAGCTCTGAATAATTAGCCTCTGTTTGTTTTCATTTGTGTGATCTTCACTTATTTCTGTAGTTTTCTTGAAATTTCCACAGAGATACTGTCTGCCCTGCATGTTACCATGGATCCCAGTTCTCTGCCAGGTGCAGTACCTACCAAAGCTTCTTGTGCCTCACTGCACACAGTTTGTTGAGTCTGCATTGACACATTGGGTCAGCACTGGTTCTGAATTCTGATCTTTGATTTTGCGTTCTTTGGCTATCTAGTCTCACTTTGGTACCTAGCATTTGTTATCAGTTTCTTTTTGATTGGCATTCTTGGTGGAGTCAGGCCATTCCTTTTCATCCCTGTTTCTTTCTTTTCTGCTTCTGTTTTGCATTGTGCTGTCTGAAAGTGTTGCCATAGAATAGAACACAGGCATAGGCCCTATAAAGCTTTAATTTGAGCTGGCCTCCCAGACCAATGTGGTTTTCATTTGACTGGCATTCATTTGGACAAACTTTGCTGTGGGTTACCAATAAAACTAGGTAAGATTATCCTCTCATCTAGATTTTTGTTCTGAGAATTTGGTTTTGATCCAAAGAGAGCATTCTCTCTGGTGTTACACTTGCCTGGGGAGACCGGTTGTCAGGTGTGCATTTAGAGGCAGCTCATCATCAAGGTTGGGGGCTCAAGATGCAAAGTACACAAGCTTCACTTTCAACTGTTGCCAGCCCTTATGGGGTCATTTAAGTCAGATTTTTCCACTCCTACAGGAAAAACTCCTTTTTCTTATATGTACACTTATTACAATTCTAATTATAGTGCCCACCTCTCTAAATGGTGTAATTTCACCAAAGATGATTTGGGCCATCAGTGGCCATGCTGGGAAACACTAGACTTAAACAATTACCTGAGAAACCCCTTAGAAAAGAAAGAGAAAATGATTTATCAGATGTAACGGATAATTTTTGAGTTGGTATGCAAAAGTCTACAAATGAAACTCAGTTCTAAAATTGCTTCACTATAAGATTCTTGGGTTAAAGCGAATGAGCAATCTGATGACTTAAACAACAACAAAGTAGAATTATTTCCTTGGTAAACTCTACTCCTTCTTGGTTTCCAGTTATCACTCTATGTTCAGTTTTCCTTCTTCTCCTTTATTTTTTTGATCTTTCTTTTTCTGCAGCTCCTTCCTTGCCTTCCTCTCATGCAGACCACCGTCTTCCCCAGCAGTTCTCTTAAAACTCAACATGCCATTTGCTTCTAAGGATGCATCCCTTCCATGAGCTAGGTATGTAGGCAACTGTAGAATTTATACCTTGGACCCAAGATGAATTAAGAGCTGTCATTGAAGATTCCCCTAAATCCAAAAAGAAGAGCAAATAGTGGTAGAATAATTTGGAATTTTAGGGGGTGCCTATGACCCAGGGGTACCTGACCTGTATCAATTTGTGCATATGTTGGTTGAAACATCAGATATCAGATAGCAAAGACTGATTGAACTATGCAGGAAGAGACCTGTAGGATTTCTCTCTCTGCAATAAGCCTAAAAGTCAAAAAAAAAAAAAAAAAAAAAAAAAAAAAAAATCCCAAAACAAAAGACAAAAACCAGTAAAGTAGATCAAAGTTTCAAAAAAGACATATGTGAAACATTTCCAAAAAACTTGATTGGACCTTAGTTCAATCATGCGAATAAAGAAATAAACAAGATCTGTAACTAAATGAGGTAGTTGGAGTTGGGGCTAGACTGCTAGAAAATACCATGTTTTTTTTTTTGTTTGTTTTTTTTTTTTTGTTTTTTAAGATACAGTCTTGCACACAGGCTAGAGTATAGTGGCATGATCTCGGCTCACTGCAACCTCTGCCTCCCAGGTTCAAGTGATTCTGGTGCCTCCACCTCCAGAGTAGCTGGGATTACAGGCGTTCATCACCGTGCCTGGCTAATTTTTATAGTTTTAGTAGAGACAGGGTTTCACCCTGTTGGCCAGACTGGTCTCGAACTCCTGGACTCAAGTGATCCACCCGCCTCTGATATAATACGTAGATGACTGCCTACTTGTTTAGAGAAGCTGGTAAAAAAATTCCACCTACTTGCTGTCAGCTTTAGCAGAAAAGGGATATAAAGTTTTAAAATACAGAGTTTTGCCAAAACATAGCTCATTTAGGGCGGGAGAAGAACATTCTCTCCTAACAGAAAACTACAGTGGAAATGATTTCTAGGTCTAATGGGATATTCTTGTTAATGGGTGCCAAATTTT